TACGTGTTAAATTGTGTCAGTGGTCAGTCATGTGCGACTCTTTGAGACCCCACAGACCGTAGCCCCCAGGCTCCTCTGTCCATGGGATTCTCCAGGCAAGAACACTGGAGCGGGTTGCCCCTTCCAGGGGATCTTCCCAACGCAGGAATTGAACCCAGGTTCTCCCACACTGCAGGTGGATTCTTTACCATCTGAGAACACCAGTCACTTCTTTACATCTTGGTCTTTATTTAATGGTAAACAGTGGCTGAACAAAGTATAAGCCTTTAAATAACCCTCGGGTGGACCTTTTAAGCAATGCTTCCAAATGACATTGAATGGATATGGTACTCAACCTTTGTTCCATGTTTTTGATGAGTTTTTAGTTAACAGTAGGAAGGTTACCATACAGTAAGAGGGTTGGCATACTTGGATGATTTTGTTTCCTTCAAGTGGAGTGGCTGTAGCGAACAGCAAAAAGAAAGGAGAGGTGAATTTGGAAATCTTTGAACAGTGGGCTAATGAATTGGGGCCTGTAGGGAACAGTGGGGAGGAATTCACTAAAGCTTTGGATGTGGACTGGAGGAAGGGCTATTTAGAAAAATAAGTAGTCTAAGTGATACAAGAATTATGACATCTTCTAGGACATTTGTTCAACAATTTAGGATTAAATTTAAATGTCAAGGACAGGAAGGAATATATATGAGGGGCTGAGGCCTACAGAAAATATAGTTGAAAGGAGATATTAATAGGAGTGAGTCATTACTCAGTTACAGAAACCAAGCATTAATCTATTGATCCCGAACTGGAGACTGATGACTTTGAAAATGACATGCATGATAGGAGAAGGAATTGATTTAAAGTGACAGATAATGAGCTCAGAGAATAACTGGGATCTCATAAAACTTCATAAATCATTCAGTCTACTTGTTCCTTCCAATGGACTCTCAAGAGTCTTCTCCAGCACCACAGTTCAAAAGCATCAGTTCTTTAGCTCTCTGCCTCCTTTATTGGAAAGCAAAGAGATCAAATCAGTCAATCTTAAAGGAAATCAACCCTGAATTCTCTTTGGAAGGGCTGATGCTGAAGCTGAAGCTCCAATAATTTGGCCACTTGATTCGAACAGCTGACTCATTGGAAAAGACCCTGATGCTGGGAAAGATTGGAGGCAGAAGGAGAAGAGGGTGACAGAGGATGAGATGGTTGGATGGAATCACTGATCCAACAGACGTGAACTTGGACAAACTCTGGGAGATGGTGATGGACAGGGAGGCCTGGCGTGCTGCAGTCCATGGGGTCATGAATTTGGACACGACTTGACTGAAATGATTTGGCATATGCATCCACACATCCATGCATCCATCACTTCATGATGAGCAGAGTATATTTCCCTGATACTTGGCTTTGCCCTTGGCTATGTAACTTGCTTTGGCTAATGGACTTACATGCATGGTTGGGCTTGCCTTTATGAACTTCTTCCATTTTTATGGAAAGAACCAGATAGCCCTACAGCCTAGGCTATAGAATGAGACAGGTAGTCATGCTATCAGAATATTCACTCTGAAATGTCTTGTGACTAGTTTGCTATCTGGAGCTGTGACTCTTCTGAAATGTGTGATTATTGAGTCTGCAGAGTAAATGAGATTATCACAAGAGACAGTTTATGCATTATAGAAATTTCATAATGAAATTTACATGCAGGTTTTATCTTTCTTTAAATTACTGTGTGATCATTGCATTGTTAAATGAAAATACTAGATTCAGATTGATGGAGAAACAGAGATAGCTCATGGATAAGTAAAGTAAGGTTTATTTATTTAAAGGATAGAGAAGGAAGTCCATATAGTTGGGATACTTAGCAGAGACATCAGCTATATCCTCTAAAAGTCATAAGCTTCTGGACCCCAAGTACAGTTCAGCTCAGTTCAGTTGCTCAGTGGTGTCCGACTCTCTGTGACCCCATGGACCACAGCATGCCAGGCCTCCTTGTCCATCACCAACTCCCGGAGCTTACTCAAACTCAACTATTGAGTCGGTGATTCCATACAACCATTCATCCTCTGTTGTCCCCTTCTCCTTCTTCCCTATGGACTGTTGCCCACCAGGCTCCTCTGTTCATGGAATTTCCCAGGCAAGAATACTGGAACTGGTTGACATTTCCTTCTCCAGGGGAATCTTCCTGACTCAGGGATCAAACCTGGGTCTCCTGCATTGGCAGGCAGATTCTTTTTTTTTTTTCCTTCTTTTTTATTTTATTTTATTTTCCCATTTATTTTTATAGGCAGATTCTTTACCATTGAGCCACCAAGGAAGCCCCGGGCTCTAGAGTACTTTCAGGTATTTTCCAGGCTAATCAAACAATATTAATTGTGTCTTCATAGACATCCAAAGTCTAACTCTGTACCACATACCTCTAAAGCCATACTCTTTTTATATTTTCAACAACTTTCATACATATGGGTCCAACGTTTGAGATTGTTCAGTATGATAAGGAGAGAAAGGAAATTTAATCTGAACGACTCTGAAACTCATTGTCTATCAGGGAGAATGATTTTTGAATGTATCTCAAGTGTTACTTGATCTGAGCTCAAATGGGGAGAACTGGGTTCTCTTAGGGACTGTTTGCTCACAAAGCTCTTGTCCACCTGGCCTCCTGGTGATCCCCAGATTCAAACAGATTCTGTAATAGCAGTACTATCAAGAACATCCATTGGAGGACACTAGAGCACAGCAAATAGATGAGAGTGCAGGAATACATAAGGAACTTAGTAAATCCTCTGTACAAAGGCAGACAGTGTCCTCTCCAAAATTAAACTCATGGCTACCTTCAGAACTGACTAATTATCAATATTTCTATTGAAAAACAAATTCTATCACTGATGCTTTTCATCTTTCAGAGTTGTAATTTTAGAATTGGCTGATGAATGACTTTTCCAGGAGGTAAATACAGAAGTTGTTTTAGTAACTTTTACAATTTTGTGTAGGAATCTGCTTTGGAAGTTCTGCTTAATAGCCTAACCTTAATTAAATCTTCATTGACAGATGAAGTCCTTTGCAGGTTGATGACCTGGGTTTGTCTGACAAGCCCTTTGAACACGGAGAACTTAGTAAGGTTCACAGAAAAAAAAAAACCCAAAACAGGGATTCTAATTGCTGCCAAAGGGAGTTACCCCAGGCAAATTATTTAGGTAAAAGACCTGATGAGAGAAAAACCTTGGACATCCACGGTGAGGGTTACTAAATTTTCTCATAATAAGTTTTCAAGTGTTTGAACAGTCTGCTAACAATTTTTAATCTCAAATGGTAACTATTTACAAGATGTGAATAACACTTAGATATTTGGGCCTTTAATTTTAATTTAGCATAAAACTAGTCTTGTTCCCATTTCTGAGATTCTGAGTTTTCTGGGACTCCACCAATAAACAAAACATAGCTTGGACTGTAAATAATGATGCTCACCATATGACAACTTCTTAAACACATTGTGCTTGGAAACTATCAGCATAATTGTGTATTTTTGTCAGAAGAATCAGCAGTCATACATCAACTTATCTTAGTAATAATGGCAACTGTAGGCATTTATTTTCACTTTATACACAGGGGGGCACTCTGGGTTTGGTTTGCAAAGAAGAAGATGAAAAACTCTGGGACTAATTTCATTCTGGAAATAAGTGTCCCTTGACCCAGAATACTTAGCTGGGAGTGACATGGCAGCCAGCTTTTCCTGCATAGCGTCTTATTAATTTCGATTCACCTCTCCTATTGCAACACAGATTGTCAGGCAATGAAAGCCATTATTTATGGTCCTGAGCTAAGGAAGGTGTTAAATCAGGTGCATTAAAGCCCGTAGGTAGTAGTTTAAGTGGGGTGGGAGTGTCAGTGAGACCACTTAGAAGCCGTGTACTGATTTACAGCCTTCCAATGGGGGTTCCAACCTCTTGTAAGACACTTGTATTCCAAATCATTTGGTTGTTTGGGACCAGGGCTCTGCTTCTTTATTTCTTTAAGAGTGACTAATCTCTGTCTTAAGCTGCTTACATGTTTTGGGGATGAGGGTATAAATGACTAAATGATGTGTTAGTTGCTCAGTCGTGTCTGACTCTCTGCGACCCTGTGGACTGTAGCCCAACAGGCTCCTCTGTCCATGGAATTCTCCAGGCAAGAATTCTGGAGTGAGTTGCTATTTCCTTCTCCAGGGGATATTCCCCAGCCAGGGATCGAACCTGGGTCTCCCACCTTTCAGGCAGATTCCTCACTGTCTGAACTTCCAGGAAAGCCCTAAGTGATGTAAAGTTTTCCACAAAATACTAACTTGTTCAGAAGCATTTACTAAGTATAATTATGGTGTTCCTAATAATTTAGTATATTTAACTGCATATTTAGTTAATTCTTTTTTTTTTTTTTTTTGTTTTCCCCACTGAAAGGGTGAGGCTGAGCGGTGCGGGGAGGTCTGAGTCACCTGTGGGGCATTCATTTTTATTGGAGTATAGTTGCTTTAGAATGTTCTGTTCGTTTCTGCTGTCCAGTAAAGTGAATCAGCTGTATGTACATGTATGTCCCCTCGTTTGTGGATTTCCTTCCTGTTTAGGTTGCCACCGAGCATTGAGTAGGTCCTTGAGCTGTGCGGTGGCCTCTCATTAGTCATCTATCATGTATATCAAGAGTGTATCTATGCCAATCCAAATCTCCCAATTCCTCCACCTCCCCGCCTTACGTCCTTGGTATCCATACATTAGTTCCCTACATCTGTGTCTCTAGTCCAGGTTTGCAAAAAAGGTTTGCATCTGTACCATTTTCTAGATACCACCTATATGCGTTAATGTATGATACTGGTTTTTCTCTGTCTGACCTACTTCACTCTCTATATCAATCCCTAGGTCCATCCAGGTCTCCACAAATAGCACAATTTCCTTCCTTTTTTATGGCTGAGTCATTCTGATACTGCACTTCCCTGTCTCCCTGTCTCAACAGGACATGGACGGCACCTTCCAATTGGGTGATCAGTGAAGAGCCTAATAAAGATGCCGCAGGATTTGATGAAACAGGGCGGCGAGGAGGCTAGTCATCATGGGCAGCGCAGACGTCCACCTCCGCACAGGCAGGCCAGGCCCAGCGCTCCACCCGGAGGCCTGTCCGCCACACCCCGGCCTCAGGTGGGGAGCCAGGTGTCCCCGGCACACCATGCAGGGGCGGGGTGCGGGACCCAGGGCGGACACCTGACTTCACCGTCGCCCCGGTCTAGGCTCCTGCCCGCTCGGCTACAGCCACCTGGACGGGAGAGCTGCAAGCCAGCCCATTGCCGGGTGCGCAGGTCGGCGACAGCGCAGGGCCCCGCGCGCGGGGAGAGCGCGGTCCAGAGGGGCACACAGAACGCATCGGGCTCCCGGCCTTGCCGCCAGAGGTCAGATCTCGCGACGTCTCGCGTCACCGACGCGATCCTGGACGGCGAGAGCCAGGGCTCAGGCTCGCAGGTGGTCCTGCCTGCTGCCCGCGGGGGACGTGCGGCCTGCAAACGGAGTGAGATTCCTCACGTTCTCCAAGAAGGGAGACGCCTCACGTTCTCAAAAAAAAGGGAGAGTCCTCGCGTTCTCAAAAAAAAGGGAGAGTCCTCACGTTCTCCGAAGAAGGGAAATGCCTCACGTTCCCAAAGAAGGGAGATGCCTCACGTTCTCCAGAGAAGTGGGGTGCCTCACGCTCTCCAAGAAGGGAGACGCCTCACGTTCTCAAAAAAAAGGGAGAGTCCTCACGTTCTCCGAAGAAGGGAAATGCCTCACGTTCCCAAAGAAGGGAGATGCCTCACGTTCCCAAAAAAGGGACATTCCTCACGTTCTCCGAAGAAGGGAAATGCCTCGCGTTCCCAAAAAAGGGACATTCCTCACGTTCTCCAGAGAAGTGGGGTGCCTCACGCTCTCCAAGAAGGGAGACGCCACACATTCTCAAAAGAAGGGAGATTCCTCACGTTCTCCGAAGAAGGGAAATGCCTCGCGTTCCCAAAAAAGGGACATTCCTCACGTTCTCCAGAGAAGTGGGGTGCCTCACGCTCTCCAAGAAGGGAGACGCCACACATTCTCAAAAGAAGGGAGATTCCTCACGTTCTCTGAAGAAGGGAAATGCCTCGCGTTCCCAAAAAAGGGACATTCCTCACATTCTCCAAGTGAGATTCCTCACGTTCTCCAAGAAGGGAGACGCCTCATGTTCTCCAAGAAGGGAGACGCCTCACGTTCTCAAAAAAAAGGGAGAGTCCTCACGTTCTCCGAAGAAGGGAAATGCCTCACGTTCCCAAAGAAGGGAGATGCCTCACGTTCTCCAGAGAAGTGGGGTGCCTCACGTTCTCCAGAGAAGTGGGGTGCCTCACGCTCTCCAAGAAGGGAGACGCCTCACGTTCTCAAAAGAAGGGAGATTCCTCACGTTCTCCGAAGAAGGGAAATGCCTTGCGTTCCCCAAAAAGGGACATTCCTCACGTTCTCCAGAGAAGTGAGGTGCCTCACGTTGTCCGAAGAAGGGAGATGGCTCACATTCTCCAAGTGAGATTCCTCACGTTCTCCAAAGAAGGGAGATGCCTCACCTTCTCCGAAGAAGGGAAATGGCTCAACTTCTTCGAAGAAGTGAGATACCTCACGTTCGTCCCACGTGCGTCTTCAGCAGTGAATTTAAAGCTCAACTAAAAACCCCGGAAGATGGCAGTTAACCTACGAAGTCTGGAGCCGTCTTACCTGTATCTAGGTAATTAGTCTAACTGAGCCGTCTTACCTGTGTTCTCTCACAGACCTCGACACCAAAGTGTCGCTGAGTCTTCAGACATAATGTTGCAGTTTTTAAAATGAAAAATATTAACAAAATCAATAGGTGGTAGACTTTATGCAGAGAAGTCATGAATCTCAATTTCCCTTTCCTGCTAGAAAAGGGGAAAAAGTTCAGAAACAAGCACATATATTGTAAATGTATTTTCTGTAATTTGGGGGGAGGTATTGGTAATTTATTTTGATCCAGCCCCCTTTACACTTTATGTTACAATAACATCTTCCCACTTTCTTGGTTGGTTTGCTATTGTTTTCCTTGTTTGTGAACAGCTTACTTTGTATTTTTCAATGATAGGGTTATGCTAATATGCTAATTATACCAATGGTAAATATTAAGGCTGTACTAAATGGTTAATATATATTCTTTGACTCTTACTCTAGTGCTGAAAATAGAATTTAAGTCATTTAAGTGTTGGATAAATTAAAACTTAGGTACATACCCTAATCTCCAATGTAGGGTTTTTTTTAATTGTCATAAAAAACACATAACATAGATCTACTCTCTTAACAGATGGTCAAGTGTACAGTCTAGTATGGTTAAATATAAGCACTATGTTATTCTAAAGCTAATCTCTGGAACTTTTTCATCTCCCATGACAGATTTCATGCCCATTGATCCAGGTCCTCATTTCTCCTCCTCCAGCTAATTCCAAACACCATTTACTTTCTAACTTTTCCAAACTCACCCTTCATTTGTAGTGTGCTTTCAAAATCTGTCTTACAGTTCATGAGCTCTATAGTCCATCGTAAAGAATTTTGAATACTGTCCTAGCATTTAATTGTAAACTGTTCTCTGTATGAATTATATTACTGTAAGCATCAGATTTTAAAAAGTGAAATAGTTCAAGCTTTCAGAAAATATGACAAACACCCATATAACCATCACCTATAGCTTCATCAGATTTTAATGTTTCATCATCTTTGGCTCAGTTGTTTTTTTTTTTCTTTGAACAAAATTAAAGATCCTAGGTGAAGTTCTTCTTGCTAGTCTAATTCCCTTTCCTTCTCTAGAAGTCCGTACTGTTCTGAATTCATTGTTTCTGAATCACATGTGTTTCAAACTTTTAACCAGGAAAGGCTTTACAGGTGTGTATAGGGCCTGTGTTTAGAAGGGTCCTATATTTGGTTTGATGTTCCTATTTTTGAACAAGGTAAGTGGCCCCAGTTTTGTAAGTTTTAAAGGTTGTTTGATGGTGTGATGCATAGATAGATGCTCAGGTAGGTGAAGAGCAGGTTTCTTTCTTAAAGCTGCAAATGAGAGAAGAATGCCACTTGGGCTTCAAAAAGGATGGCCCCCGTAGGGTAACAAAGTCGGAGTGTTGTAGTGTAACAGTTTATGCAAGGTGCACTAGCGACGGGGCGAGCTAGGTTTCCTGGGGACCCCGTGGGGCAGCCGGTCTGAGTAATCTCACACGACAGGGAAGAAAGGGCCCTCCATAGTGGTCTGGACTTGGCCTTGGCGAGCGGGGCCCCTGGCTGGGGGTGTGCACAGCAGCCCCAAGGGGCGAGTCTGGTAGAGCAAGTGCTTGGAGCGGGGGTCCAGCAGACTGCTGCTAACAGGAAATTGAGGTTTTTCTGCCAGGACTTCAAAACTAGGTCAAGACAGTACTTGTGAAATATGTTAAGGCATTGTCACTTTTCACTTAGCCCTGAAAATTATATAACTAATCCTGATTTTAACTGTGTATTTATACATAAGCATTGTATTGTACTGTTTTGCATGCATATAGATTTTCATGAAGTTCGGTTGTTTCAGTTTTCTTTTTTAAATAAACGATGCTGCAATAAAATTCTTGAAGACAGCTCATTGGATACATGTGCTGCTCTACGGAATATAACCACGAAGGCAGTTGCTTGGCACAGAGTGTATATATATTTGATATTTATAATTTGATGTTCCCATAACTCTCACAACTCTTTAAATGTTGGTTCTACAGTTAAATTCATTTAAAATATGAAGTCATTTTGCTGTGGTTTCCCCAGTCATCTCTCAATTGGCAGGAATTTGTTGTCTAGGTGTTTCCTTAAGAAGGGCTCACGAGAGAGACATTGCCTGAATTACATGTGCAGTGGTGTTTTCCAATAGGCTTTATTCAGAAAGACAGCTTGGCTGGCTATAAATTCCTTTGCTCACACTTTTCTCCCTGAGAGTCTTCTAGAAATTTTTATACTGTCTTTGACTTTGAATGATGTGAAAAAATCTGATCTGAGGCTAATTCTTTCCCTTCTCAGTGTCTTGGTCAATTTGCCTGACAAATTAAATTATTTTTTTAATCTTTAGATTCCAGTAATCTTGCTAGGATTTGTCTTAGTCCTAACTGCTCTGGGTAAACATCCTCAGGGACGTTGTATGCCATTTCAACATGAATTTCAACTCTTTTTTTCCAGAAATTTTATCAAATTATAGTTTCAGAGTTTGTTCTGATCAGCTCTTCTTTTCTGAACAAATTTTTGAAACTATAATTTGATAAAATTTCTGGGAAAAAAAGAGCTGAATTTTCAGTTAGTCCTAAAGGAAATCAACTCTGAAAATTTGTTGGTAGGGCTGATACTGAAGCTGAAGCTCCAATACTTTGGCCATCTCTAGATTTCTTATAATACCTAATACAGTGTAAATGCTGTGTAGGTAGTTACAACGGTGTTGCAAATTCAAATTTTGCTTTTTGAAAGTTTCTGGATTTTTTTTCCCCTTAATATTTTCGATCCACAGTTAGTTGAATCTGTGGATGCAGTACCTGAGCATATGGAATGTTGATTGTACATTATGGTAGAAACTTTTGCCTGTTTTTTTCTTTCATCTCCCAATTTCCTCTTCTTCCTTTTAAGCTCTTATTTGTCTTATTTTGATTGCTTTTTTAATATCTATAATTATCATTAATCACTATTCTCCTCCCAATAGTTATTTTCTCTTGCTTTCATTTTAATTTCAGTTCAGTTCGGTCGCTCAGTTGTGTCCAACTCTGCAACCCCATGGACTGCAGCATGCCAAGCTTCCCTGTCCATCACCAACTCCCAGAGTTTGCTCAAACTCAGGTCCATCAAGTCTGTGATGCCATCCAACCATCTCATCCTCTGTCAATCCCTTTCTGCTCCTGCCTTCAATCTTTCCCAGCATCAGGGTCTTTTCCAATGAGTCAGTTCTTCCCATCAGGTGGCCAAAGTATTGGAGCTTCAGCTTCAGCATCAATCCTTCCAATGAACACTCAGGACTGATTTCCTTTAGGATTGACTGGTTTGATCTCCTTGCAGTCCAAGGGACTCTTAAGAGTCTTCACCAACACCACAGTTCAAAAGCATCCATTCTTCAGTGCTCAGCTTTCTTTATAGTTCAACTCTCACATCCATACATGACTACTGGAAAAATAATAGCTTGGACTAAATGAACCTTTGCGGGCAAAGTAGTGTCTCTGCTTTTGAATATGCTGTCTAGTTTGGTCATAGCTTTTCCTTCAAGGAGCAAGCGTCTTTTAATTTCATGATTGCAGTCACCATCTGCAGTGATTTTGGAGCCCCCCAAAATAAAGTCTCTCACTATTTCCATTGTTCCCCATCTATTTGCCATAAAGTGATGGGACCGGATGCCATGATCTTAGTTTTCTGAATGTTGAAATGTTTAAGCCAACTTTTTCACTCTTCTCTTTCACTTTCATTAAGAGGCTCTTTAGTTCTTCGCTTTCTGCCATAAGGGTGGTGTCATCTGCATATCTGAGGTTATTGATATTTCTCCCAGAAATCTTATTTCCAGCTTATGCTTCATCCAGCCTGGCATTTCGCATGATGTACTCTGCATTGAAGTTAAGTAAGCAGGGTGACAAAATGCAGCCTTGACATACTCCTTTTCCTATTTGGAATCTGTTGTTCCATGTCCGGTTCTAACTGTTGCTTCATACAGGTTTCTCAGGAGGCAGGTAGGGTGGTCTGGTATTCCCATCTCCTTAAGAATTGTCCACAGTTTGTTGTGATCCACACATTCAAAGGCTTTAGCATAGTCAATAAAGAAGAAGTAGATGTTTTTCTGGAACTCTTGCTTTTTCTATGGTCCAACAGACGTTGGCAATTTGATCTCTGGTTCCTCTGCCTTTTCTAAAACCAGCTTAAACATCTGGAATTTCACAGTTCACATACTGTTGAAGCCGCTTGCTTTCTTATTTTCTCTTGCTTTCATTTTAATTTAGTTCTTATTTATTTAAAGCCCCTTTTCTTTTAACTTTTTCTTTGAGTTCTCACAATATATCATCCATGTCAATCCATTTGCTCACCCTTTGCTCTTATTTTCTCACAATCTATTCTCTAGTTTCTGCAGTTCTGCTTTATGGGTTTACTTTTTAAATAAGTAACTTAAAGAAAAATTTGTGGCAAAGTATTTCATCACTCTTTTTCTCTGTTCTGTGACAACCTTTCCATGGCGGATGTTTTTTGTCTGGTAAATTTTGCTACTTTTTCCTATCATTTTTCTTGTAGTATTCTTGTATTGAGGTTATACCAATTTTTTACTACTTTTTCAATAAAGAATGAGTTGCACTTTCCTCGCCTAGGTTTTTATAGCCATTCCCTTTAAGGAAATAATTTGTCCTGGTTAGTTTTGAGGTATTTTGCCTCTATTTCACTACCCTTTTTGTGTCCTTTTGTGTTTATCTCCCTTCTCCATTTCCTACCTGTCTTCCCTACATCCTTAGCAATTGCAAGAGCTATGCATTTCACTTTAGGGTAAACCCTTCTTTCAGAAAGGGTGTGTGTGTGTGTGATTTTCTGAGACCTCCTGCCATGAAGCTGACCTTATTTACTGTTTCTGTGCATGGCAGTTGCTATACTTCTTGACACACCTCTGGGAGTTTTTTTTTTTTTTTTACAATTTTTTGTCTACATTATTTCCAGTTACTATTTCAGAGAGAATAGGAAGATGCATTAATATTTCCTCTATAATAGATTATTGGTATTTCATTGTATTTGCTTAATTTATTTTTAAATTAATTTTTTGCTTTATTAATTTTTGTTTGTCATTTGGCAAATTTCTTTCAACTTCCAACTTGTTAGTAATATGTGCATTTTGAGTGCTGTCAAATTTAGCAGAATTTTTATCAAGTTTCTTTCAAATATGAGAGAGACAATGCTTTTCCTCCATAACCTGTGTTTGTCTGGCGTTGGGGACTATAGGAAGCATTGACATCATGATGCAACTTCTGGCCCTCCAACTTTATGTCCTGAGGTTGAGTGAGTTAGCAGAGTGGGCCTTGGAATTCCCCGAAGCCATTCTTCCACTGGGGCGTTAACTTTACTACCTCAGAATTGACTGAGTCACACAAATAGTTTCCACTACACCTGAAAGTATGTCCTAAACTCGACCCTTCCTTGGCTGACAAGAAGAGTTGAGGCCACTTGAGGCCTCTCCCACACCACCCTGCATTAGGGAAAGACCATGGAAGTCAGAGTGGACATACATAGTTGAAATGTCTTACTTTTGTAAGTTTTCAAAACGTATGTCCAACTGATCATGTTGTGCAGGCTGCAGAGGTGAAGCTCTGAGGTTGCCACGTTTGCCCTGGGGATCAGGGTAGGGAGGGTGGTTTTTGTGGGGGGAGTGTGGTTGCTAACCCCAGGAGAAAAGTTTGAGGCATTGGCTGCTGGGTCCTCCCAGGCCGTGTCAGAGCGATAATTTGTTTTGGCTCATGAACAGTTCCCAGATCTAGTTTGTCTTTTCTTAACTTGGAGTATAGTTGACTTACAATGGTGTATTCGTCTCTGGCATATAGCAAAGTGCTTCAGATGTACGTGTATATTCTTTTTCAGATTCTTTCTCATTGTGGTTTATCACAGGATACTGAATGCGGTTCCCTGTGCGGTACCGTAGGACCCTGTTGTTGATCTGTTCATGTGTAGCAGTGTGTGTCTGCTGATCCCGGGCTCCTAACTCATCCTTCCCAGTTTCTCCTTTGACAGCTGTAGGTTTGTTCTCTGTGTCTGTGAGTGTGTTTCTGTTTAGGAAGCAACCATTTCAAAATTCCCACTGCCGTTGAATATTTTGGCAGAGGTTTATTCGCAAAACCCCAAGTAGTGGCATAAAAAGGTATCACATATATATTGACCTTCAAAGTCAATCATCAAAGGTTTATTTGCTCACGACAAGTCCTGTGTTGGGTTAGAGGAGTGAGAAGAGAGAAGAATCTCTGCTCTGAAGGAGTTTGAGGTCCAGCTTAGTGTTTCTCAGGCAGGTTGTGAAGTTAATTTAGTAGGTCACCACCAGATTGAAAGTAACAGCATAGAAAATGTCAGAGTGAATTTTAGATCGTAACAACCAATATCATTTTATATTACTTGTGACTCTCAAATCCTTTGCTCACTGAGCTTGCTGTCAAAAACATCAGAAAAACTTTGACTTTCCAGGTGGAAAAGATACTACAAATGCACCAGGAGCAACTAGCCTCTACGAATCGTGTCTTCATTCCCCAGGGCTGCTGTAGCCGAGTCCCACAGACCGAGTGTCTTAAACAGCAGACACGAACCGTCTCTCAGTTCTGCAGGGTGGGAGTCCACGATCGAGGCATTGGCGAGGCGGACTCCTTCTGAGGCTGCGAGGGGGAACCTGTTCCCTGCCTCTCTCCCAGCTCCCAGGGCTTTGCTGGCCGTCTGTGGGGTTGCTTGGCTTGCAGGTCCATCCCTTTAATCTCTGCTTTCATTGCACACAGCATCCTCTCTCTGCACTTGTTTCTCTCTGTGTCCGGGTTTTCTTTCTCTAAAATCATGAATTTCTGTAAGTCATGGTGGGTCAAGGCCCACCCTAGTGATCTCATTTCAACATGATTTCCTCTGAAAAGACCCTGTCTCCAAGGAAGGTCACATTCTGAGTTCTTTAGGGTTCAGGGCTTCAGTGTGTCTTTTTTGGAGGGGAGGACACAATTCAACCCGTAATAATCAAAGTGGGCCCCACTCAAATATGTATGTGCTGGTCCTTATAGCAAGCCCTTATTGGTCTCTATAACCACGATGAGAAGTAAATTTATTATGTCAATTTTACAGAGTAATAGAGGTTCCGAGATAGTCACTGTTGCAACTGAAGTCTATTTTACTTCAAAGCCTGAGTTCTTTCATTCTGCTGGTTGATTCCTGGGAGGCTAGAGCTGGCAGGGGTCTTAGAGGCCATCTGGTACCACCCCCTCTTTTCACGTGTAGTGGGCCAAAAGATAAAAACAGTCCTATTTTTAAAAATGTGCTGTGCTTTCTACATTCCACAGAAGCAATGGAATCCAGCTATGGAGAATGACCACTATTTTACTTTTGGAAGCTCGAATGGCCACTAATTTTTTTTTCTTCCCCACCATCCCCACAAATGTGGGAACAGTTGGGATCCCTTGGGGTGTGTATAGTGGGAGAAACTGAAGTACAGAGATGCTGGGTCTCTTGTCCGTGGTTCCCCCAGCTTGTGTTCCCCAGATAACATTTATTATGTAAATTCCAGGAACAGTATTAATGAGAAAAAGAGAGAGGAGACACGGAGGAGGAGTGGGAGGAAGAGGAGGAGGAACGGACAGAAGGAGGAGGAGATGGAGGAAGCGTGAACCCAGCCTGTCTCTCTACAAGCTTCAGCCAGAGCTTAGCTTAGCTCAATGGGCTAAAAATATATTTGTCTCTTTCCTAGAGACAAATATAAAATGCATTTTTACTATTAAATTTTATTCCTATACAAATCTCTTTTCTTCTTGATTAGTATGAAAAACAGAGAACTGGTAATTCTTTGCATAGCATATAAGTGGAATCTGAGAAATTTTGCACATGTAGGATATGGAAAAATAATTTTCATCTTGATTGCCTATTTCCCATTGTCAATACAAAAGAGAAATGAATGCAAGACTATAAGCTGATAGCAAACCAGTGTGACTGTAGGAAAGGTCTGGGTTCTACAGCCAGATCTATCTTTGTCTTTATTAGCAGTCTGACCTTGGGAAAATTACTTTACTTCTTTGAATTTTTGTTTCATTGACATAGACATTTGAGATGATCATAACACAGTTCACTTCAGAGAGACGTGTATTAGATTAAATAAGATAAAACACATACGTGGTGAACACAGAACCCTTCCTTTATCAAGCAGTTCTGGCTTTAGACTTGATTGTCCAGTTTTTAGTGACTACTACCCAGTCACTCATTCAACAAATGTTTGCTGAGCTTGTATTTCTGGCAGGGCACTCCTTTTGGCACTGGGTATTCAGTGGGGACAGAGACAGCCAGGGTCCATATTCTCTCTCTCTCTTTTTTTAGTGATACTTTTTCTTGAAAATTAGTTAATTAATTTTTGGCTGTGGTGGGTCTCTGTTGCTGCACACAGGCTTTCTCTGGTTGTAGCTGATGGGAGCTTCTCTTCCTTGCAGTATGGGAACTTCCCTTTGTGGCAACTTCTCTTGTTGAGGAGCACCCCGCTGTGAAGCATGGGCTCAGTATTTGTGGTAAATGGGCTTAGTTGCCCCATGGCATGTGGAATGTTCCCAGACCAGGGATTGAACTCATGTCCTTTGCATTGGCAGGTGAATTCTTATCCACTGGACCACTAGGGAAGTTCCTCTGTTTTCTTGTAAGATGCAGTCTGGTAGGAAAGACATGATAAGCCGCTGGATAAATAAACAATGCAAACTATCAGAAATGGGGAATTTGCAACAAGTTAAGGAGATACAGGTTCTTGATGTCTTTTTTATTTTGGATGATCAGGGAAGGCATCTTTGGAGAGGAGACATATAAGCAAAGATTGGAGTGGCAAGAAGGACGTTCTGAGGTGCAGACCAGGAGTTCTTGCCCTTGAGGCAAAGGAAGGAGTTAAAAAGAGGCATGAAGCTGAGGGTGACCTGAGATAATCAGAGTGAAGAGCAGAGAGCTGGTGGTTGAGGGACAGAGGGAAAGTCAGCAGGGCTGGAGCATCCTAGGAGAGTGAGGTGGGAGCTGGATGCAGGAGGCAGTGCTGAAGACAGAAAGCAGCATGTGGATTCTGAGCATGTTTGGAGATTAACTGGGTGTCGAGAACCAAGGATAAGGCCTAGGTTTTTTATTTGAGCAATCACAAGGATGCTAGTGTCATTTACTGAGAGGAGGAACCCAAGGGAGAAGCAGGTTTTGAGGACAAGTCAAGCATCATGTGATATTTGAGATACTTACTTGCTATTCAAGGAAACTTTTCGTAGGAGACCCATATTTTACAGAGAGGATATGGATGTAGATGTGGGAGTTATCGACATATCAATGGTCTTGGACTTAGGGGTTCCCTGGAGGCTCAGACGGTGAAGAATCTGTTTGCAATACAGAAAACCCAGGTTTGGTCTCTGGGTTGGGAAGATCCCCTGGAGAAGGAAACAGCTACCTACTCCAGAATTCTGGCCTGGAGAATTCCATGGACAGAGGAGCACAGTGGGCTTACAGTCCATGGAGTCGCAAAGAGTCAGACACGACCGAGTGCCTAACACTTTTCACTTTAAAGTCCACAATACTGCCCATGAGAACCTCTTCTCCAGGCTGCAGCCAGCTGGCCTCCTTTGATACCTGCTTTCTCTCCATTCCCACCTCATTGATATATCAGGACCCTCAGCCAGTGATGACTTTAAATTGTGGGAGGGGCAAATTCTGTGTGGTTCAGATCCTACCTTTTTTTTGCTAACAGAATCTTCATTTTTTTTTTTTTTTTGCCTTGGATTCATAGGAAACTTTCACTGAAATAGTCACTAATCACTTTCTAGGTGAAAGCAAGTGTAAAACATGTTACTTATCTTTCACAACAGAATAATAAAAAGAAAATGTATCCCTTCATCAAAAATTACGGTTAGTGCTCATTTATTAGTACTGACCTCACTTTGGAGCTACATTTAACTATCTGGGCACATATTTACCTTTGATTTGCATATGGCACTACAAGTGATGCCAAGAGCCATGCTACATGTCAATTTAAGACAAATTAGAGCCATAAAATCTAACCTGCTGTTAGAGTTTTTGTATTTATGATTTAGGCTCCATTTCACATGTTTTATGTTGAGTTTTATAGCAATGCACTCATCATCCACACCTCTGGGCACAAGTATAAAGCACCACTTACAAAAACAACAGATTGGCAAAAGTCAGGCTCCAAGGCTAATCCCCATTGCCCTGTCTCAGGCACAGGTGCCAGTTAAAAGATGAATCTCCTTCTGTGAGCCCTAAGGGCCTACATCCTTGGACTCTTAATGAACCAAATCAGAAGGGAAATGATTCAGGGACTTGGAAAGCCTGAACTTCTTTGTGTTCAAAGTTAGGGTCCCTT